TTATAAGGACCCACAGGGCAGCAGCTGCTCACTCAAACACGAATAAGATCTGTAACAGCATCCAGGCACAGGGCAGCTTCCGTGCCCTGACATCAACTCCGATGCCCACCATCCTTGGGTCAGCTGCTGCTCTCCTTACTTCCTCCTACCCTCCCTTGCTCTGCCATGGCTTCTCTTTCCTTAGGGCCTCTACCTATCCCATAACTTCTGCTTAATTCTGAATTCTGCTTCTTCATGGCTTCTGTGTCCCATTCAGACTCCTCAGGAGGGAAGACAGGTTTGGGTCCCTTGGCTACCAGGTGGTACTGGGTGGCATTGCCGGCAAAGTTGTGGGTCAGGCCCCCTTTGTTAGTGGCTGTCCTGGTCCAGTCATTTGAGATTAAGTATTTTGAAACTTCTGCATCAACTTGGCATTGCTGTGACATCCACAGAAGTGTGATTTATGGGCTGGTCCCTCTAAATAGAGGATAGATCAGTGTGGTGTTCTAAGTTGCATGTAACATGAGCTGTGTAATATATATCTAGTCATGCATAGTTGAACCAAGACAAATTTTTAAAGAAACAGCAACAGATCAGTTGTCAGAGACAGTCTGAGAAGCCCTGGGAAATCTGCAGGAAAGGGCTCTCTCTGCTCCCAGCTTCCAGATTCTGAAGCCACACATCAGAACTGGGCTGTCAAGATGCCTCTGCCCCTGCCAGTTTTCTGCCTATGGAATCAAGACCATGTTATGGGTTTCAGAAGCACCCCACCTTTGCCACCAGCAGCCCTAGCAAAGCAGGTACCTTGGGCAGCTCCTGTCCCTGTGCTCAGGAATATGAGAATGTGTTTAACTTCCAGTCCCAGTTGCAGAAGAAGGCTTGCTGGAAAGAAGGCTGGAATGGATGGCCAGTGAATGCCTCCAACTCAACTTCTGCAACAGCAGAACCAATGGCCTGTTCCCCACAACCATCACATGCTCCTTGACCTCTGTGCATTTGCACATTTTGTTTCCATTACCTGGAATGTCCTCCCTGAATTTCTGCTGTTCAAAACTTTATTCATTCATTCAATAAGCCTCTATAAAGTTTCAGGCATGCTGCTGGGTGTTGGGGATACCAAGATGAATACGGCAAAGTCTCTGGCTCCAAGAACTTCATTACCTGGTTAGGGTGACAGAAACATAAATCAATCTAACTTCCCAGAATGCCCCCCTTATGGGCTATAAAACTCTTTACAGTGTGCAGGGAAGTAAAGCACCGGGGTTGAGAGCCCGGCTCTAGAATCAGACCTGCCAGCTGTGCGCTTTGGGTAAGTTACTTACCCTCTCTCAGCCTCTCTTTTCCCATTGATAACAGCACCTACCTCACTGGACTTGTTCTGAGCTTTTCAGGAGATACTGCATGGGACAAGCCACATTCAAGAGGCACATGATATCTAGCAAATGTACTGTTCTTTCCCATTTCTTCAAAGCTTGATCATATGTCCCCTCCCTGTGAACCAACCTCCCAGCAGCCTACCATGGGAAATGAGTCACCTCTCATCAGTGTGGCCATTCTTCTTTCATGGGACACACCTCTGGGGTATCAGAAATGCTGGGATGGCTGTGTTTATATATTTGCTGAGCCATAAAAAACACACACACACAGAAGTTGGCCTTTATCAAATATTAAACATTAAAGGAGGTTTTTTTAAATGAAATTATTATCAAAATACAATGAAACAGCGGCAGCTTTCTGAATCCACCCATACTATGTGCTTTTTGGTTTGTAAACTCAGAGCACCCTGACTGATTTCCTTTGCATTCTCCTCTGCCTGACACAGGGCCAGGACCCACAAAGGTGGGTATTAATTAATGATGAAATGAATTTGTATTTGCCCTGATACATATGGGAGATTTTTCAAGTGCAAAGTTCTGAGGCTTGTACCTTGAACTCTTTGGAGGAAATGAGCTATGGAAACTGATTGCAGGCAGGACAAACAGCAACAGTGATCTATCATCTAGTCAGTGTAGTGGGGGTAAATCGTGGCCCCTGTGAGATAGTAGAAAATCTATATATTGGTCTCTGCCCAGGTTCCTGGAACAGAGCTCCTAAAATTCTTATAGGTTTTCTTAAGTGATAAGAGTGCTAGGAGCATCTTTTCTTCTAATGAGGTGACTCTGGGTGGGCTCCTGGATGGCTCCTAAATGGGGGCTGTTACCAGGATCAGAAGCTAGGAATTCTCAACCCCCACCCCCACCCCACCACTTATCCAGAGAGGGGAGAGGAGCTGGAAATGTAATTAATAATTGTTCATGCCTCGTGAGAAAGCCTCCCTAAAATCCCAGTAGTATGAGGTTTGGGGAGCTTCCAGGCTAGTGAATACATCCATGTACTGGGAAGGTAATGCACCCTAACCCCACGGGGACAGAACTATCTTTATCATACCCTTTAATAAACTGGTAAACATGTTTCCCTGAGTTCTGTGAGCAACTCTAGCAAACTAATCAAACCCAAGGAGGGGACTCTGGGAACCTCTGATTTGGAGCCAAGTTGGACAGAAGTTGTGGGTCATCTGGGGGCTTACTACTTGTAATTGGCATCTGCAGTAGGGTGGAGGCAGTCTTGTGGATAGTCTCAGAATTGAGTTAAATTGCAGGACACCCAGCCGGTATGCAGAAAATTGTTTACTGTGAGGGAAAACCTCCACACATTTGGTGACCAGAAGTGTCAGAAGTGAAGTGTGCTATGTAATAAAGGAGAGTCACAGGAGAGAAAACTTAGGTTTTGCAATATATGCCCCCCAAAAGATATGTCTATGCCCTAACTCTTGGAACCTCTGAAGGTGACCTTGGAAGAAGGGTCTTAGCAGACATACTCAAGGACCTCCAGATGAGACCAATGGGATTACCCTGGGGCCCTAAACCCAATGGTAAGTGTCCTTAAAAGAAAAGGAGGATACAGACACAGAAGAGAAGGACACAGGCAGATAGAGACAGAGATTAGAGCCTTGCAGCCACAAGCCACCAGAAGCTGGAGGAGGCAAGGAGAGGTCTTCCCTTAAAGTCTTCAGAAGGAGCAGAGCCCTGTTAGACTCCTGTTGTCTCAAGCCACCCCAAGTACCTCCTAAAAGTCTGGTTTCCAAGTACAGACCCACTGTGGATGAGAGCTTTAACACACAAATATTTAGGGGACATAATTCAGTCCATACCACTACCCCAGGCCAGGCTAATCAGTGCATTCTCTAACTTAGTCACTTTTAGCATATGACCCAAGGCTATGCCTAAGCATGGCATTTTACCGTAACATTCAAGCAAACACAGCTCTTTTTTCTTCTTCACTGAAGAAAATTTACCCCTAAAGCAGCCAGAGGCATCTGGAGAGGGCCTGGCAGAGAGTGCAGCCAACTTAGAAGAATGCAGAGATAAGAAGCAGATGCACAGTGCCTAGATCCAGCTGTCAGGAAGCAGGATCCCCTGGGCATCTTGGTAAACATGATGTAATAAGCTTTTTTTTGAGCTGTGTTTCTGTCACTTGCAACCCACAGAATCCTAATAGACTGGTCTCATGGCTAAGAGTAGTAGAGATAGGATCTGAAGCAGGCTTGCTTAGCTCTAAGAGGCTCAACTCAGGATATCCTGGATATAATCTCAGGGCTTAACCCAGGAGCCATCCTCTGAGTCCTGATAACCAGATGGCAGCTGGGTTCTGACATTTTTAATGTGTTCACCCTTGCTCTCTTAATTGATGGTGGAAGCCTGGAAGGTGCCGTGAATGTAATAAATCCAGATAATTAAGTAAACCCAGATTATTTCAGGGAGCACTCCATTATAAACCAAAACAAAGGTTCCCAGACTGAGCTCTTAGTGTATAGGTGGTGACAAAAGACACTGACTAATTCCCAGCAGTTGAGGAAGGGACTCCCATAATGATTCCCGCCTGGCCCCCCACCCCATCCTGTCCTGCCCCCTGGAGCCAGATGCCTCTGTTCAAGGCAAAGCTCTGGTAAAGCTGTGTGACCTTGGGCAGGTGGAGGAACCTACCTGCCAGTTTCCTCATCTGAAAAATGGGGAAAATAGTAGTGTCCATTTCACAGGACTGACATGAGTGTCTACGTGCAACATGTTTAGGACTGGCACCGAGTATGTCCTCTGTAAGGGCTGTTGTTATCATTCCCAAGGCTGACTCCTCATTCAAATCTCAGAACGAATGTCATCCCTGGGGGCGCCTTCAGTTCCCACGGAGCGGCCCCCACCTTCTCACTCTGTTGTAGCTTTGTTACTTTCAGGGCATTTTCTGCTATGGGATCCTTTCTTCTTTGGTTTCCTTTTTTAAAGTGGCTGTTAGGCTTTACGAAGGGCAGAAACCTCGCCTGATCTTGTTACTGCTCTTTCCCTCCCACCTTGCCTCCTGCCAGGCACATAGTAGGTGCTCAGTGCATATGGGTTGGAATAAAGCCCCCAGCACACTCGCAGGGGCCGCTGCCATCCCTGACTTGCAGGGTAGACAGAGGCAGGGAGGAGCAGCCCGGGGTGTGCCCTCCCTTTCTTCCTCCAGCTCAGCTTCCCAGGACAACTTTATGTGAGCATTAACTCCAGAGGGTCCTGAACAAGGCCACCGCACCGGGATCAGGGCTTTCCCGGTTCTGCCTTAGGGGAGGGGAGACGGGGGTGGCTCTCCGGAGACCAGTTCCAAGCTCGTCCTGAAGTCCCTCCCGCCGCGCCGCGTTGCTTTAAGGCGGAGGCCCGGGAGGGGCCGACCCCGCCCGCCGGCCCCGCGCGCGGCTCAGACTCCGGCATTTCCTCCCAGCCAGCTGGCGCGGCTTCGCCTCCCCTCGGAAGAGAAAACTCCTGGGGCCTGAGGAACGGGAACCAGCGCGGAGGAGCCGGAGGGCCCGCGGCGCCAGGAGGGCCGGCCAGGGTAGGAGGCGAGCCCGGTAGGGCCAGAAGCTGGCCGCGGGCAGCGCGCTGGGGCGCCGGGCGGGAAGGGGCGCCCGGCCGGACGCGGCGCGCCGCTGGCGTACGGCGCGGCCCGGAGCCCAGGAGTGCAGGGCGGGCCGCAGCTGGAAGGAAAACTTGAGCTGGGAGAGGAGGCTGAGCTGGAGGGCGGCTGCCCCCGGCCCTGTGAGGGGGGAGTCGCCGCGGAGGCGAAGGAACCCGGGACAGCGGGTGCTCAGCCATGCACACAATGTACATGCTCTCCTTCCTTCCCAGTTTCACTTCCCCACTGCCCTCACTCTTGCTTCCCTGGGTTTGCACCCCAAGTATACATTCATATACGATCCGTGCCCTTAGGTTCTGTTTTCTAGAGAGTTAAGCTAGATGCCTCTCCACCTCATGCCACCACCACCCTAAGTCTGGGTTGCAGGGAAGAGACACACACTAACATGATCTCAGACCCAGTGGAGATTATTATAAGGACCCACAGGGCAGCAGCTGCTCACTCAAACACGAATAAGATCTGTAACAGCATCCAGGCACAGGGCAGCTTCCGTGCCCTGACATCAACTCCGATGCCCACCATCCTTGGGTCAGCTGCTGCTCTCCTTACTTCCTCCTACCCTCCCTTGCTCTGCCATGGCTTCTCTTTCCTTAGGGCCTCTACCTATCCCATAACTTCTGCTTAATTCTGAATTCTGCTTCTTCATGGCTTCTGTGTCCCATTCAGACTCCTCAGGAGGGAAGACAGGTTTGGGTCCCTTGGCTACCAGGTGGTACTGGGTGGCATTGCCGGCAAAGTTGTGGGTCAGGCCCCCTTTGTTAGTGGCTGTCCTGGTCCAGTCATTTGAGATTAAGTATTTTGAAACTTCTGCATCAACTTGGCATTGCTGTGACATCCACAGAAGTGTGATTTATGGGCTGGTCCCTCTAAATAGAGGATAGATCAGTGTGGTGTTCTAAGTTGCATGTAACATGAGCTGTGTAATATATATCTAGTCATGCATAGTTGAACCAAGACAAATTTTTAAAGAAACAGCAACAGATCAGTTGTCAGAGACAGTCTGAGAAGCCCTGGGAAATCTGCAGGAAAGGGCTCTCTCTGCTCCCAGCTTCCAGATTCTGAAGCCACACATCAGAACTGGGCTGTCAAGATGCCTCTGCCCCTGCCAGTTTTCTGCCTATGGAATCAAGACCATGTTATGGGTTTCAGAAGCACCCCACCTTTGCCACCAGCAGCCCTAGCAAAGCAGGTACCTTGGGCAGCTCCTGTCCCTGTGCTCAGGAATATGAGAATGTGTTTAACTTCCAGTCCCAGTTGCAGAAGAAGGCTTGCTGGAAAGAAGGCTGGAATGGATGGCCAGTGAATGCCTCCAACTCAACTTCTGCAACAGCAGAACCAATGGCCTGTTCCCCACAACCATCACATGCTCCTTGACCTCTGTGCATTTGCACATTTTGTTTCCATTACCTGGAATGTCCTCCCTGAATTTCTGCTGTTCAAAACTTTATTCATTCATTCAATAAGCCTCTATAAAGTTTCAGGCATGCTGCTGGGTGTTGGGGATACCAAGATGAATACGGCAAAGTCTCTGGCTCCAAGAACTTCATTACCTGGTTAGGGTGACAGAAACATAAATCAATCTAACTTCCCAGAATGCCCCCCTTATGGGCTATAAAACTCTTTACAGTGTGCAGGGAAGTAAAGCACCGGGGTTGAGAGCCCGGCTCTAGAATCAGACCTGCCAGCTGTGCGCTTTGGGTAAGTTACTTACCCTCTCTCAGCCTCTCTTTTCCCATTGATAACAGCACCTACCTCACTGGACTTGTTCTGAGCTTTTCAGGAGATACTGCATGGGACAAGCCACATTCAAGAGGCACATGATATCTAGCAAATGTACTGTTCTTTCCCATTTCTTCAAAGCTTGATCATATGTCCCCTCCCTGTGAACCAACCTCCCAGCAGCCTACCATGGGAAATGAGTCACCTCTCATCAGTGTGGCCATTCTTCTTTCATGGGACACACCTCTGGGGTATCAGAAATGCTGGGATGGCTGTGTTTATATATTTGCTGAGCCATAAAAAACACACACACACAGAAGTTGGCCTTTATCAAATATTAAACATTAAAGGAGGTTTTTTTAAATGAAATTATTATCAAAATACAATGAAACAGCGGCAGCTTTCTGAATCCACCCATACTATGTGCTTTTTGGTTTGTAAACTCAGAGCACCCTGACTGATTTCCTTTGCATTCTCCTCTGCCTGACACAGGGCCAGGACCCACAAAGGTGGGTATTAATTAATGATGAAATGAATTTGTATTTGCCCTGATACATATGGGAGATTTTTCAAGTGCAAAGTTCTGAGGCTTGTACCTTGAACTCTTTGGAGGAAATGAGCTATGGAAACTGATTGCAGGCAGGACAAACAGCAACAGTGATCTATCATCTAGTCAGTGTAGTGGGGGTAAATCGTGGCCCCTGTGAGATAGTAGAAAATCTATATATTGGTCTCTGCCCAGGTTCCTGGAACAGAGCTCCTAAAATTCTTATAGGTTTTCTTAAGTGATAAGAGTGCTAGGAGCATCTTTTCTTCTAATGAGGTGACTCTGGGTGGGCTCCTGGATGGCTCCTAAATGGGGGCTGTTACCAGGATCAGAAGCTAGGAATTCTCAACCCCCACCCCCACCCCACCACTTATCCAGAGAGGGGAGAGGAGCTGGAAATGTAATTAATAATTGTTCATGCCTCGTGAGAAAGCCTCCCTAAAATCCCAGTAGTATGAGGTTTGGGGAGCTTCCAGGCTAGTGAATACATCCATGTACTGGGAAGGTAATGCACCCTAACCCCACGGGGACAGAACTATCTTTATCATACCCTTTAATAAACTGGTAAACATGTTTCCCTGAGTTCTGTGAGCAACTCTAGCAAACTAATCAAACCCAAGGAGGGGACTCTGGGAACCTCTGATTTGGAGCCAAGTTGGACAGAAGTTGTGGGTCATCTGGGGGCTTACTACTTGTAATTGGCATCTGCAGTAGGGTGGAGGCAGTCTTGTGGATAGTCTCAGAATTGAGTTAAATTGCAGGACACCCAGCCGGTATGCAGAAAATTGTTTACTGTGAGGGAAAACCTCCACACATTTGGTGACCAGAAGTGTCAGAAGTGAAGTGTGCTATGTAATAAAGGAGAGTCACAGGAGAGAAAACTTAGGTTTTGCAATATATGCCCCCCAAAAGATATGTCTATGCCCTAACTCTTGGAACCTCTGAAGGTGACCTTGGAAGAAGGGTCTTAGCAGACATACTCAAGGACCTCCAGATGAGACCAATGGGATTACCCTGGGGCCCTAAACCCAATGGTAAGTGTCCTTAAAAGAAAAGGAGGATACAGACACAGAAGAGAAGGACACAGGCAGATAGAGACAGAGATTAGAGCCTTGCAGCCACAAGCCACCAGAAGCTGGAGGAGGCAAGGAGAGGTCTTCCCTTAAAGTCTTCAGAAGGAGCAGAGCCCTGTTAGACTCCTGTTGTCTCAAGCCACCCCAAGTACCTCCTAAAAGTCTGGTTTCCAAGTACAGACCCACTGTGGATGAGAGCTTTAACACACAAATATTTAGGGGACATAATTCAGTCCATACCACTACCCCAGGCCAGGCTAATCAGTGCATTCTCTAACTTAGTCACTTTTAGCATATGACCCAAGGCTATGCCTAAGCATGGCATTTTACCGTAACATTCAAGCAAACACAGCTCTTTTTTCTTCTTCACTGAAGAAAATTTACCCCTAAAGCAGCCAGAGGCATCTGGAGAGGGCCTGGCAGAGAGTGCAGCCAACTTAGAAGAATGCAGAGATAAGAAGCAGATGCACAGTGCCTAGATCCAGCTGTCAGGAAGCAGGATCCCCTGGGCATCTTGGTAAACATGATGTAATAAGCTTTTTTTTGAGCTGTGTTTCTGTCACTTGCAACCCACAGAATCCTAATAGACTGGTCTCATGGCTAAGAGTAGTAGAGATAGGATCTGAAGCAGGCTTGCTTAGCTCTAAGAGGCTCAACTCAGGATATCCTGGATATAATCTCAGGGCTTAACCCAGGAGCCATCCTCTGAGTCCTGATAACCAGATGGCAGCTGGGTTCTGACATTTTTAATGTGTTCACCCTTGCTCTCTTAATTGATGGTGGAAGCCTGGAAGGTGCCGTGAATGTAATAAATCCAGATAATTAAGTAAACCCAGATTATTTCAGGGAGCACTCCATTATAAACCAAAACAAAGGTTCCCAGACTGAGCTCTTAGTGTATAGGTGGTGACAAAAGACACTGACTAATTCCCAGCAGTTGAGGAAGGGACTCCCATAATGATTCCCGCCTGGCCCCCCACCCCATCCTGTCCTGCCCCCTGGAGCCAGATGCCTCTGTTCAAGGCAAAGCTCTGGTAAAGCTGTGTGACCTTGGGCAGGTGGAGGAACCTACCTGCCAGTTTCCTCATCTGAAAAATGGGGAAAATAGTAGTGTCCATTTCACAGGACTGACATGAGTGTCTACGTGCAACATGTTTAGGACTGGCACCGAGTATGTCCTCTGTAAGGGCTGTTGTTATCATTCCCAAGGCTGACTCCTCATTCAAATCTCAGAACGAATGTCATCCCTGGGGGCGCCTTCAGTTCCCACGGAGCGGCCCCCACCTTCTCACTCTGTTGTAGCTTTGTTACTTTCAGGGCATTTTCTGCTATGGGATCCTTTCTTCTTTGGTTTCCTTTTTTAAAGTGGCTGTTAGGCTTTACGAAGGGCAGAAACCTCGCCTGATCTTGTTACTGCTCTTTCCCTCCCACCTTGCCTCCTGCCAGGCACATAGTAGGTGCTCAGTGCATATGGGTTGGAATAAAGCCCCCAGCACACTCGCAGGGGCCGCTGCCATCCCTGACTTGCAGGGTAGACAGAGGCAGGGAGGAGCAGCCCGGGGTGTGCCCTCCCTTTCTTCCTCCAGCTCAGCTTCCCAGGACAACTTTATGTGAGCATTAACTCCAGAGGGTCCTGAACAAGGCCACCGCACCGGGATCAGGGCTTTCCCGGTTCTGCCTTAGGGGAGGGGAGACGGGGGTGGCTCTCCGGAGACCAGTTCCAAGCTCGTCCTGAAGTCCCTCCCGCCGCGCCGCGTTGCTTTAAGGCGGAGGCCCGGGAGGGGCCGACCCCGCCCGCCGGCCCCGCGCGCGGCTCAGACTCCGGCATTTCCTCCCAGCCAGCTGGCGCGGCTTCGCCTCCCCTCGGAAGAGAAAACTCCTGGGGCCTGAGGAACGGGAACCAGCGCGGAGGAGCCGGAGGGCCCGCGGCGCCAGGAGGGCCGGCCAGGGTAGGAGGCGAGCCCGGTAGGGCCAGAAGCTGGCCGCGGGCAGCGCGCTGGGGCGCCGGGCGGGAAGGGGCGCCCGGCCGGACGCGGCGCGCCGCTGGCGTACGGCGCGGCCCGGAACCCAGGAGTGCAGGGCGGGCCGCAGCTGGAAGGAAAACTTGAGCTGGGAGAGGAGGCTGAGCTGGAGGGCGGCTGCCCCCGGCCCTGTGAGGGGGGAGTCGCCGCGGAGGCGAAGGAACCCGGGACAGCGGGGCCGCCGGGGCGCTGCGCGCATGCTGGGCGGGGGGCGCCGCCGGGGCTCGCGCCCTGGGCTACCCGGCCGCCGCTGCCCAGGGCGCCCGGCATGTCGGTGCATTACACGCTCAATCCGCGCGTCTTCTGGCCTCTGGTGACCGGCCTGTGCACTGCCCTCGTGTGCCTCTACCATGTCCTGCGAGGAAGCGGGGGAGCCCGGGCCGAGACCCCCGACGGTGCGGACGGAGGCTTCCCGCTGCTCAAGGTGGCTGTCCTGCTTCTCCTCGGCTACATCCTTCTGCGCTGTCGCCACGCTGCCCGGCAGCATTTCCTGCCCGCGTCTCCGCGTCTGGGGAGGCACTCTAGACACTTCCGGGAGCCGAGCCTTGGCATCTTGCTGGAGAGTTACTACGAGCACGAGGTGCGTCTATCACCACACGTGCTAGGCCACAGCAAGGCACACGTGAGCCGTATAGTGGGCGAGCTGGTGCGGGCTGGCCGCGTCCGGATGTCCCCAGGCCCCATCCCCGGTGGAGCGCTGGCCTTGGCTTTCCGAGGAGACTTCATCCAGGTGGGCAGCGCCTACGAGCAACATAAAATCCGCCGACCAGACGGCTTCGACGTACTGGTGCCGTTGCGCCTCCCACCGCTGGTGGCGCTGGAGCCGCGGAGCCTGGGTGCCGAGCCCGCGCTGGCCCCCGCCTTCCATGGCTGCTTCGTGTGCGCACTCAAGGTGCCTCCCGGAGCCTCCGGGGGGCCCTGGCTCCGGGACTGCAAACCCTTCACCGACGGCTTCTGCGTGGACGTGCGCGGGCGGCGCCACCTCTCTGCCACACTGGTGCTGCGCTGGTTTCAGTCGCACTTGCAGCGCTCCCTGGCCACTGTGCGCTACAGCCTGGAGGGGCACTGTCGAGTCAGCCTGACCCCCGGGGGCCTGGAGCAGCCGCCCACCCTGCACATCCTGCCCTGCCGCACCGATTACGGCTGCTGCCGCCTTTCCATGGCCGTGCGTCTCATCCCTGCGGTCCATGTGGGCGACGGCGTCTTTCTTGTGGCGCCACCACCGTCACCCTTGCCAGTCGGGCCCCTGTCGGAGCTCCCCGGAGGCCTCCGGGCGGACGCACTGTGGGGCGTGAACACAGCACGCCAGGAGCAGAAACTGCTGGGCTGCCTGCAGGAACGGGCTCCCCCTGGTGCCTGCTACCTCAAGTGCCTGCAGCTGCTGAAAGCTCTGCGAGATCTCGGTGCCCGCGGGCTGAATCCAACGGCAGCCACGCAGTGGGGGCGAATCCTGTCCTCATACACGCTCAAGAGCGTGGTGCTGGCAGGGCTGCAGCGCGAGGGGCCTCCTGCACAAGGCTGGACTGAGGCGCACCTGGGCGATCGCTTGGAAGAGTTAGTGCAGTTCCTTAGGGACTGCCTGCTGCGACGCCAGACCCTCTTCCACTGCGTGCTGGGCCCTGGTGGGGCTGCCGCTGAGGTGGGTCCACTGCCCAAGGTACTGCGTGAAGCTGCCCCAGTTGACCTCCTGGCTGCTTTCGATCGGCAGGCGCGGGAACTCGCTGCCGCGCGATTGCTGTCCACGTGGAGAAGGCTGCCCCAGCTTCTCCGAGCCTATGGGGGTCCCCGCTACCTGGCCAGGTGCCCCCAACCCCGGGGTCCGCGCGTCCAGGGCTTCCCTGCAGATGAACCGTAAACCTTGACAGCGCCGCTTACTAGCCTTAAAGCTCCCAAAGCCTTTCCTACCGGATTGGGGTGGGGATGGCAATGAAGCCAGTTTAACGCAAGGAGCATGAGCTTTCAGGTGTTGGAAATTCGGAGGACGACATTTAATGGCTCCACAATCCAGTATAGTAATGCCACCTTCTTCACGCCCACCAGAGTCTCCTGGGCAAACAATGGAAAGACATGCAAGGGCTGCAGCTACTGGTTGGTCCAAATGATTTGTGTGGAATGATTCTGTAGAAGGATCAGACTTTTAAGGAAGTCCAGTAAAGGAAGCAAGAACCAACTGTAGGAAAAAGTTCCCTATGGTTTTTGAGACATCTCTTCTGGTGTCCAAATTTAAAGAAGTTAATGTTTTTTTGATGTAACTGCTTGCTAGGTCCTGGGTTCCTGATTGTCTTTTTTTTTTTAATTAGAATCTTTAATTACGATTGGAATTGAAGTCCTAATCTACAAGCTACCGTTGTGAGGAGCATAGTTTCAACTATTCAAATTAATCTTAGTGTATTTTTTCAAATGGTGGAATCATAGTGTTTGACAGGATTGTGAAGCATTAAGTCACACGTGTTGAGAAGCAGTCAAGAGTTAGAGGAACTTCCAGAGCAAATAGCACTTTATTTTGATAAATTCTTTCATTTTGTGGTAATTGCTAGTGCCAAGTATTGCTTCTGAAAGGGAGGCCAATTGCATTTATCATTAAGAAATGTGCCATCTTGAAAAGCAGGCTTGTTTAACATTCCTCCAGGCACAAGCTGCGAAGTGTACCAGCCAACACCCATTCACTGAGTGCCTACTGTGAGCCAGGCCCAGTGCAAAATAACAGAGGAAAAAAAGAAAAATATTGTTTAAGACAACACATAAAGGCATAAAACACATTGGGTCTCGAGGAAGATGTCTGTGTCTTTGCCTATCAAGGTGTCTCGCCGGGGCTTGCTGCTGACTGGAGACAGAAACCTTTTTGTTCTAAGGCTTTTTGGTAAACTCCTTTGCTTGATTTCTTCCTGAGTTTAATGGGAAAATGAAGAGGAAATGCCAGCAGCAATGTCTAGCATGTAGTTAACTGTCTCAGTCAATGGTCAGTGATCGTTAGTGGTTATAAAGTTTTTCTCCCATTGCCCAAGCAGCCTTTATGTGGTCCTGAGGCCAACTTTGAGGAGTGATTGATTCAGCACAGGTCCTACAAGGCATTTCACTTAGGTAAGTTCAGTGTCTTGGGCTCTGTGCTAAAAGATCAGTTACTCCCGGAACAAGTCAGTAGGAGGTTAAGGGAGACAGCCCTTGTCATCAGCCTGCTATTTTTTCTATTTGGACATAAATATCACCAGGTTGAATGTATGTTGCAGCCAAGAGGAACCGATTCTAAAATCTTTCCTTGTTCTCCCAAATTTCTAACAACTTTCAATTGTATCAGTCGATATAAAACTCAGTGTTAGAATTGTCCATCATCTGCTTGCATAATAGAAAACGCAGCCAGTCCTGTGTTATACTTTGGAACTTTTTTTTTCTAAACAAAGACATGTTACTTCCTTAGATTCTTAAAGGTAAAATTTAGAAGACAGAAACAGCCAGCTGAATAGGGCCATTGTTTAATTTCTGAGTTATTTTGAGGGAACTTGAAGCTTTCTTCAGGAGACCTACTTGACTTCTGCAGAAAATTATTGTTAATAATTTACAGGGAATCCTCATCAGAGCTGTAGAGAACTCTTATATCCTTTGCCTCCTTGGACTGTCAGACAAACAGTTCCAAATGGTGCGCCTTCCTTTTGAGGTTGTTTGGAGGACAGTTCCCCTTGATACCACAAAGATTGTTGCTAGCCTTTGAGGTCAGTATTAAGTCATAAGGTACTACATTTAGCAAAGGCATCAGTCTCCAAACTTCCTGCAAAGATATAAACTGCACAGTGTTCTGTAAAATTACTTTTAAAAATAAATGCCAAGAGTAAGTAGATATATATGTGTACATATATATATTTATAATGTTTTCATACTCAGCCACAATTTCCCCTGTAGTCATTAAGTAGACTAAAGTGGGGAATAGCAAGGCTTATTAGAGGGATTATAAAGCTTTAAAAGCTGAATTTTCCAAATATTTCTAGCTGAATTAATAGGTTCCTTTTTTTTATCTTATTAACATTTTGAAGTTTAAATCTGGTAACATACTCTTCCTGTAGTGTTGTTGTTACTGTTCTGGTTAATTACCCACAGCCTCATCCATCCTCAAGATTTTAAAATTTAACTATTTTTTTAAATTAATGGGGTGGGCATTGTGTTTGTGAATTTTAAAGATATTAATATTTAATTTAAATGCCATGCTGAACTATTGTTCTTTGTACATGGTAACCAAAACTCAGAGCTTTAGATCTATTTTGATCAGTATTGAGTAATCCCAAACACGGACTGTGTACAAATGAAATAATATGGCATATCAGCCAAGTGTGATGGTTGCCCAAAGCACTTAAGCTCAATTCTGTATTTAAGTAGGGCTCTGACATGTCCTTGATCAGCAATGTACGCATTTTTGGTGTATACTTGGTACTGGAGATTCATATATGCAACTATTCTTATACAAGAAGGCTCAAAATTGTTTGTGTTAACAATAAGGAAAGATTCATTTCCCAGCCAGGGCCCAGAGAAAAAGCTGTGGGGAAGATGACTCAGCCGTTTTGCCACGAGACACCCTTCAGGAACTCCTACTGACCAGTCTTTGGGAGCCATCCTGGAATGCTCATGGCTGGGTAAAGAATTTTTTCTTCTTTTCCACAAAAAGAAACGGAAGCTGAAAGAAAGGAGAGTGTGAGTGAACCAAGAGATATCTGAAGAATTCAGGAAGGAGGACTTAAGATGGAAATGAAAGGAAAAAATGGTTAGAAGGGAGGTGGGGTGGAAATCATATGAGTACAGGAGAGGTTTGGGTCGGGAAACACACTCTAGCTTTGTGCTATTTCAAACCAGGGGTCGCAAACTCAGCAGCCGGAGAGGGACAGAAATGGAGGGGTGGCTGCGGGGTGGGGATATTGCCTGTCTTGGAGGGGGTCATTCATTGCTCAGCTCCATGCAGGAAAAGGGGTAGGGAGGGGCTGAAAATCAGGACTTTTTTCTTAACTGAAACTTGATGTTTTTCAAAGAAAATAATTTTAAAATGTCCAAAACACCACGTGGGCCAAAAGAGTTGAGCCTGGAAGCTACCAGTTTGCAACCCCTGCCTTACCCAGTTAACTCCCCTGCCCCTCAAAGTATGTATAAGGTTATATTTGTTATGGTATGATGTATATGTAAGTTGGGGGTGTGATATTTCGAGTAGGCTCTATCTCTCAGAACTAACCTTTACTGTAGAAACAAACCAAAAAAATTAACGCTGTCATAGATAACACTTAAATCACAATTCCCAGAGGGCCTCTGGGTCTCATCCTAGAGCTGCTCTTCACAAATCAGATCGATCCTCCCCATCAAACCCCTGGGGGCCAGTTCTTGACATTTCCTTCCTGGTGAACTGGGGCTAAAGTCCTTGGCCTTGGGGGAGTTTGCAGATGAGTAATCGGGAAGGATTGTGAAATAACTGGCTTCTTTTTTATTTGCATTTTAGTCTTGCTTTTAAATTAATTATTTTTTATTAGTATCCTAGCCTGTGGCTTAGCAGTGACGGTTGGAGGCTGGGAACACCAGAAAAAACAGTGTTGCGTCTTCAGGCCAAGCTGCTTAGGATTGTCATGATTTCCACTGCCAAGAACACTGTTATGATAAGATGTTTCTCTCATTTTCTAACTGGGCAGCTCCCAACGAAACTGACATCCTAGCTTTCTGAATGAGTCGACCTAACATGAGGTCTCTTTTAACCTCATGGAGTAAGCCACTTTCTCTGTAAAATGTGGCTTTTGACCTTGATGATGAAGATTTAACTTATTCCTACCTACATGGAGGAAGGCTATTACCTCCCTCTCCAGTGGTGGGAAAAATGAGCCTCATTAACATGTCCAGTGTCCCTGGGAGGGGATAAAAAAGTTCAGTGTTATCATCTTGGTAGTTTGTTAATTTTTTTTCAATTGCATGACTGTTAACATAGACACTACTGTTTTTTTGGTTTTTTATACCTACATAGCACATGATTTTGGGGGCATGAAGCAAGTATAAGTTGGGAGAGGGCGGAGATATATGCGATAATCTATAGAGAGAGAAAAAACTAAAATGTGCAGCTAAATTATATAAAATCTGGTTTTTGAAGTATCAGATATTCAGGAATATTTTTAGCACCTTTTCTTAAAAACATATGCCTTGATTCAGTGACTTGACATTAAAACATGCCTCTTGTTTTGTTGTTATTTTCAATGTCTATTCTGACCCCAAACTGTGTATTACGGTGCAGACTGTCAATTGCAGTCATAAACTTATGTTTTTCTTCCAATAACAGGGACCAAAGAGTTAATCAAATAGGTTCAGCTGCTACCGTTGTGTGATTAAAAGGTGTTTTAATCACACCAAATTTCCATGGCCCAAATAGTCGAGGCCTGCTATTTGTTTTCTATTTCAGGTTGGAGTAAATTTGCACTTTTAATCATATAGGTCTTTTGGGGGCCTTGTTCTTTTATACTTTGCTTTGTTAATAAAGGAACTGTAGAAACCTCTGGTCTAAATGTCAGATTTGGGGTGGGGGTGCTCATCTTCCCGGAGGGCAGCCTGTGGCTGTACTGGCTTATGGTTCCTTATACACATGCCTCACCCGCTTTCAGCGTTTCGGTGTGGGAATGTCTACTCATGCTGCAAAGCTGGGATAACTGTACAGAATGAACACTGTACACAGGTGGGAAAGGATGCCACGTCATAGCTCCATAGGCTTGCCCCCTGGGGGCCTGCCTTCAAGTCTTTCTCTTTGTCTAGAACCTTATGCCCCTGCCCCTCCTGTCTGCCTCCCCATCCCCCTCCATTCCCCTCTGCTCCACTCCCACACACACCCCTAAAAACAATTCAAGTCTTGGCCTGCGGCTCATTTCTAGCCCAAGAGTTTTGCCCAGAGATTTCTTAGGCCCTCAGGCCCTCTCAAATTGGTGAATATTTGCTAATATGAAAAACACCAGGCTTAGTGAAAGAAGGAATCTTGGAAACCACAAAGGAATCAAAGCCTTGGAGCCAGGTGGAAGTTTAGGGTAATCTAAGTAACCTGTGTAGGGTACTTACTTGCCCAGGGGAAAGGTGGTGGGGAGTGTTTTGTTTAGTTTTCAAACAGTAATTACTGAGTGACTACTGTCCCTGGGCATTAAGGACACACGCAGAGGTGACCAAAGCAGATGTGGTCTCTCTCTCTCAGGAGCTCACATACTAATTGTGAGAGGCAGGCTTTTAAAGAAGTTTCCATATGGTGTGGTGGGTGCTGGGGTAGGCAAGGGTTATGGAAACACGGAAGAGTGGTACCTCATGCAGTTCAGGGGCTTTCAGGAGGGCTGGACACACAAATAGGAAGGAATTTGCTAAATGAAGGGAGTTGGGCTGGAGAAGAATGCGTCAAGCACAGAGGTACAAGACACACCTCCAGGTGGCTGGAAAGTGGGGGTGAAGGGAGGGAGGGGGGCCAGTGGCACAGGATGAAGTGGGAGAGGTAGGAAGGTGCCAGAACACAAGGGGTCTTGAAGCCAGAGCATCTCAAACCAGACATGCAAGTTGCCTGGGAGTCATGTTAGAATGCATATTCTCATTCAGCAGGCCTGGAGTGGGACCTGACTGCCTCTCTAACCAGCTCCCGGTGATGCTGGGGTTCTTGTTTGCGGAGCCGAAGAATGAGCTTCACAGTCAAGGTAGGAGAGAAAGGTACAGGCTTTTATTAAGAGATACAGTGAAGGGACAGAGCTCCCAGCTCACGCCAGGAGGGGACAAGAGAGTCTGTAGTGGTGTGTTGTCTAGGGGGTTTTATAGGCAGTTGAGGATTTTTTGAGAACATGAAAAAACTTAGCGGTGGGGGCTTGTTAAGTGGTCCCTGAATATTAAAATTAACATAACTGTAAGGAATTTCCTGCCTTGATTTCTCTCTGGGACACTGGCGCCTTGGTCTGGGAGCACATCAAAAGGCTGCCTGCCCAGCCCCCAAGGTGGGCTGAGGTATTGTCTACTTGCTAAAGAATCTTGCCTCTTGAACTTCCTGGGTGTTAAAATGCAATCTTATCTTTAAGATGGAATTCTTCCTGCCTTTAACCATGCCGTCTACAGCTGGGTCTGCAGCTAAGTTAGTTGCTCAGTTTGCAAAATCACCTGTCAGATCTGAAGGAGGAAGACAGCACATAGCCTGGGCCTTTTAGTATGCTAAAGTGAATCTTACACGTGGTTACAAATGATTAGCATAATAAAATGTGCTACCCTTCTTTATCTGGGGAACATTAACTGATCTCACTGAAGGATGATTCTAGAGCTCAATGTTTAACATAGAGTTTTAGCAGGGGGGTTTCCTTGCATGTAGTTACATTGCTCTGACAGTAAATATCCCGCCCTGCCCCCTCCAGAGGCCCTCACTCTATTCTGACTAGATCCATGGGTCCCTGTCTCACCGGGTGATGGTGACACCAATGGTCCAGGGGCCACATTTTGATCATCAGGTTGTAAACCACACTGAAAGTTGGGACTGATCCAGAGGGTAACAGGTGAACCACTTTAGGCAAGGAATGGCAGGGTCACATTTGGTTTGGCTCACACTGGCTGCAAGGTGGAGAATGGATTAAGCAGGGGTTGGCGATTTATTTATTTTTGTAAATAAAGTTTGATGGGAGCACAGCCATGCCCCTTTGTTTATATATTGCTCTGGCTCAACTCACCCTAGACCAGCAGATTGAGTAATTGCAACACCATGCTGAAAATATTTACTCAGTGGCACTTTACAGAAAGAGTTGGCTGTTAATAATCAGACTGGAAGTCATCAAATGCTGTCCAGGCCTGGAGAGGGTCCTGAGATGGGGACAGAGAGACAAGTAGACAGGTGACCCTAGAGGCAGAACAGTGTCATGGTTAGGGTGGCACTTTAAAACCCAGAGACCTGTCTTTAAGTCTTGTGCCCTACACTTCTCATTTGTGTGTCTGTGCAAATTTCCTGGTTTTCTCTGAACCTTGGTTCCCTCATCTGTAAAATGGGATTCATAATAGAACCTCCCTTATGGGAGTGATTAAGGATTAACTGAGGTTGTGCTGACCTGGCCACAGACTGATTGAAACACGTGAGTGAGTCTGGCCAAGTCCAGGGCAACCTTGGCCCAAATGAGAAGAACCCCTCAGCAGGCCCACAGACTCTGAGCAGTAACAGACATTAGACATTAGTTCAAGCCACTGAATTCGCGGTAGTTTGATGCTCAGCAATAGCTAATTGTTCTAGAAGCTTAAAAAATATATGGCCTACAAGGGTTGCCCCTGGAGCACGTACAGTCTGTCCTCAACTTCCCCACGTTTGACTTTCAGACAGCCAGACTTTGATTTAAGTGTTTGACGACTCCCCAAACCACCTTCCCCACAGTGAATCCAGGTTTCCCTCCCGGGGAAGCACAGAGAGAGGGGTGTTAGCCTACCATTCAATAGCGGAGCTATGGGTGTGTCCCCATGTCTGTGAGACTTGTTTACACAGCTGTTTGACTATTTGGCAATTATCTTGTAAAAACAAGCATTTGCCCTTATCTTGTAAGACCAAATGGGCACTGGGAAAATGAAAGTGCTGATTCAGGTGACAAAATGCCCCCAGTCTCAAAGGTAATACAAGGAAGACACTGATTCAGTGTACCCAGCATGGCTAAGTTTCAGCTTTAGTCAGATGCTGGCTGGTGTTGAGCTGGTGGGTGGTGTGAGCAGTTGCAAAGGAAAAGAAGAGCAACAGTGATGAAGAGCATATAGGAAATGGTAACAGTTAGGAATACATTTATCCACACCTTATAAAAATAGAATCTTATGGTGACGTGAACAAATAGGGGCTTATTTTTCCTCATCAGCCAGAAGCCTGGAGGTAGGCAGCCAGCAGTCCAGAGATGAATCAGGGATCCAGGCATCTTTTTGCTTTTGCCATTATGGGTATTTTCGTGTTTATCCTCATGTTTGCCAGGCCAGGATCCCGTAGTGGCTACTGCAGTTCCGGACATTTTGACTTTGTTTAAGGCAGGGAGGAGGGCAGAGGGAGAATGGATTAGGGAATGCAGTAGACTCCTTCTTACATCTCATTGGCCAGAATGATGTCACATGACCACTCCAACCTGCAAGGGAAGGTGGGATACAGAGGCCCCAAGTAAAATATGAAGGAAGAATGGGTCTCAGAGGGTAAATAAACTACGGCCACAAAACTGCTAAAAAGAAATAGCAGAAGATTGTGGCAAAAAAGTAGGAATTACGGCATTTATAATTCCATAATTATGTAATTTACACTTACCTGAGTCCTAGGATATAGGAAGTGCACCATAAATGTTAAGGTTGAAGTCCCACCCACACCACTCACTGGCTGTAATCTTTTGGTCAAGTCAGTTAACTTTAACTTGTCTGGACATAAATTTCAGTCAGATGCTGTCTGCAAAATGAGTATGATAATCCCTCCTTCTATAAATTGGATGGGAGAATCAAAGCACAGTGCATGTGAGATTGAGAAGTGCTATCCAAATGTCAGCTGTGGTCTCTTATGAGCAGTGCATCCAAATCTTTGGAACAACAGGAAGGTGAATCCATTTCTTAAGAGGGGGGCACCCTCAGGCACTCTGCTCAGAGCCTCCTTGCTGCCAGACTTCTTTGCCGTGGGATCGTGAGTCTGCAGTTATGAATACTTGTACATGTTCCCAGGAGGGAGGACATCGAGTGAGAGGATTGACCACCCCCATGTCTCTTTCTTATGAATTGCATCATCTTCTTATAAGCTTCTTCCCCATTTCATTTCTCAAGTGAAATTTGATTTTCATTGCTTGACTCCTGGGCAGAAAGCTTAGGCTAGTGGTTATCAGTCCTGGCCCCGTAACAATACTCGAGCAGCCTTGTAAAATTATCCACCCTCAGGACTCCACCCTGGCCTTATGCGGTCAGAAACTCAGGGATTGCAGCCTAGGCCTGGGTACTTCTACAGCTCCCTGGATGATTCTAGAATGCAGCCAGGATTGTGAGCCACTGATTTAGGTCAGATGGCCCTTCTGGAACCTTTCGGTAAAGAACCTGTGATTTCCCCACCAGTAGCTATGAAACCACCAGCTGGTGGGTGGGGTTTGCTTTGTGGCAGAGACAGACAGCTGAAGGGTGGAGGTGGTGGTGGTGGAATAAAATCCTAGGACAGAGCTCTCAGCTGAGAGATGCGGGGCAAAATATTGCTAAGCAGGCACAAGATTTAATCCCAAGGGCAGCTACCTTTTTCTCCAAACACAGAGAGATGGAAAAAATTTTAAAAAATCAGAGTCATTCTGAAACTTCTCAGCAAAGAGAAGGCTCTCTGCTCAGAAGGACAGTACTCTCATTCATTTAGACTTCAAGCCTGGACAGAACATACATTATACATCACCTGTCTTCACAAGATGCTGGCTCTTTTCATGAATATTCAGTAGTTTTGCTCGTACTGTGTCTTGACCTCCCTCCACTGACATCTTAGATGCACTGACTTTGAGCACTTAAAAAAAAAAATGAAAGTCCATCAAGGC